GTGTGTGTGTGTGTGTGTGTGTGCTTTGCACAGATTGCTTAGGATCTTGGAACAGTGCATTTGCAATTGTACCCCAGCTTGATGTGTTAACAGATTAATGATTACTGTTTGTAATTGCATGTGTCCCCAGACTACAAACAAAATCTGTTATCTTTTGTGGAGTGTAATGCATGGCTTCAGGGTTGGTCTATAGTTCAGGCATATCAGGCATAAAACTAACCTAGTGTATAATGTTGGTTTCTGGCGTTCTCTCTTTCTATAGTTGTCATTCCATTCAGACTATGGAGCATGAATATTTTGATTGTCCGGAATATGTGGCCAGCACTCAGGCAGAGGTGGACAGGGCAGTTGAATTCGAGTGTGAGGTAAGTAAAATGCTTTCTGAAATCATTTGAATAGTAATGTATACACCTGGTGTAAACAGCCATCTGGTGACCCGATAATAAACAGTCAGCCCAACTATTTACACCTGACTTTACATGTGCCTCAAATGCATGGGACTCTGATGGAGTGAATGAATAAATCAGTACAATATACATCAGTCAATGCAAGTTGATAACATGCAACAAAAAAAAGAACACTTTTAGTTTTAGTGACACTTTGAAAATGTTCAGTTATCAAAATTAATTGATTCACATTTAAAATGATTTTTAACTTTAATTAGTTATTTTTTATAAATGCAGCTATTTTTATTGCATTCTTCACATAATTTACAATACTCGGGTAACAGTTTTTTAATACTAAATGAATACATATACATCCATAACCATGAATACTTCCTTGTCTATTTTGTATTATTTTAGTAATAAATGAATGAATAAATAAATCTGAATTCACTGTTAACAGAGAGAGTTTTATAGTCAAAGGAGGTACTGGGTTCATTTAATTGTAAAAACCTCAAAGACAGGAGTTTCAAAAGGCATTTTAATTAGTTATTTCAATAAATACAGCTATTTTTATTGCATGCTTCACATAATTTTCAATATTCAGTTAGCAGGGGTTTTTTTATCCAGAAAGAATACATAAACATACATAAACATGAATGCTTCCTTATCTATTTTATAGCATTATTATTTACATACAATTATTATTTACATATTTATGAACCATTTCAATAAAATTATCTGAATTAAATGTTAGCAGAAATATGGATGTACTGGGTTCATTTAATTGTGGAAAAACTTCAAAAATACGAGTTTTAAAAGGCATTTTCCTTCACTATTAATGTTTCAAAGTAGCAAGTTACAGATGGAGAACCCTCAAACGATGCCATTATTCCTTTGAATAATAAACAGGGGGGGCAGATTAGATTCCACTGAGGTGTAATTAGTTTTATTTTAGTGACATTAATGTTCTTTCCTACTGGGTCTCATGCTCATTTTGGAAAAACTAATGCATGTGTGTTAATGAATCATTATTTGTAATAATTGTTTGTAGGTGCATAAACAGCTTGTCAACAGATGTTTCATCAAAAGAGTGAGATTTTGGGATCTTTTTCTGTTTTCATGTACGGTAATAGTTTTTCTATTAGCAAATTAGTGGCATATTTTCATTCTTGGATCTGTTTATCAAAACTGCATAGTGCATAAGTAGCTATATGCAGGATTTATACGCAGTGATAACTGTCCTCCATTGGTCCTGCCTTCATGCCTGGATGAGCCTCTTCCATCATCACGAACACATCCAGGCCAAGAGGAAAGTCTGACAGAACCACTTTAGCTCTCTGAATATGGCACATATCCTGGATTAATACTATGATCTGTAAAATTATCACAGCGATTTGCCAGTTCCATCACTGGCTGCACTAGTTTAAGGGCGATTGTGTGGATTACTTTGCTCGGCGGGTCGGTTGATCCTTTTTGATGAGCATGTGGTCTGAACAATAGACTTGCAGAAAATATGAAGTATCGCTGAGCTTCTCGAGCAGATCAATATAAAGCCGCATTAAAGCTGCTGGTGATGAATTGCATCCATTGTGCGGACTGACAGTAACCCAGATTCAGCTGAAATACGAGAGTTAGCCTATTTTTATCACACCTCAGATGTGGCCGTGAACATGTTGGGATCTCATTTTTAGAAATTATTTGCCAAATAAGGACACTTGACAGTTCAGTGTATGTGTTCTTGAAAGAAGGAAAACCTCATATAGTCGAGGTGGTAAATCTGGTTAATGTGGAGGGTGGAGCGGTTGATGTATGATGCTAGTGCTCGGTCAGGACCGTCGACCGATAAATGAGCCGTTCTGCTTGACTGAACCGAGGCTGGTGTTCGTGGGATGTCGAGATGTGGCTAACTGCTCTCCTTTGACAGATGAATGTCTCTCAGATGCAGTCCTGTCACTTGCGCCAGGCTTCAGTCTTGACATATAACCCCTCTGCCTGCTTGATTATATCATATTTCACGGGGGCACATCTTTTTGCAGGACACGTTTGATGTTCTTTGTAGGCGAAGGAACCGTTACTGGTCATCCTTTTCATCCTTATGTAAAGCCAAACATTTAAGATGACTTCAGCACTCTAAAACAATGCAATCGGTTGTTGAGTTTAGAAGCTTAGAAGCTTTTTAATCAACCAAACTAAAGTGAAATGTACTGAGATGCAGTATTTTCTTACTAGTTGCTTATTAAATAAATGCCTTAAAAATTAGCATAAAGGTAATTGTCTGAGCTTTGAGTACAGCTGAGCTCATAGTTGCTCATGTTTCTGTTTATACTGGATGTCTGTTCCTCTTCCTTGCCCTTGAAATACAAAGGAAAGGGTTATGTTCGGTTTGAATGGAATAAATGAGATGTAGGCCTATGGATGACTCATGTATTTTAATATATCTGGATGTTTATGTGTTACAGGAGATTGAACTCTGTCGAATGAACAGCCAGGAGAAGCTGGGTCTTACTCTCTGTTACCGCACTGATGATGAGGAAGATACAGGCATTTTTGTTGGTCAGGTGGGTAGTGGAAATTTTTTTGTAATTGTAAAATGGTGGTCATCATTTGGACCTAATATTTTATTTTATTTTATTTTACACTGATGTAAAAGTGGTTATGCATGGACAATAAAATATTTCATGCTGTCCAAGTTAACATTTTCATCGCCTTTTACAGACACTGTTAAAAAAGGGGAAAAGTTGACATTTTTTAATACTTTCAGACTCTATTTTGTAGTTTTTAATGCAGCAGTTCAATTTACAGACAAAGATCTACTGAAAATGAACTGAATAATGCGTTTAGAATGAAGAAGGTTATTTGGTGATCTGTGTTTAATTCATTAACACACGTTGTTCTCACCTGTAAGATGTGGCACTGAGCATCAAATTTGATGCAGGCAATCAAATTAATCGGGCCAAACCCTTTTTAACAGCAATTTAAATTTTCTGAAAAGTAATTAAAAGATAAAAGCTCAGTTTGATCCATTCTCATTGTTCCACATCACTGTATTCCTTCACTGAAATTAAAAGTGTTTAATATGGAAAATGTTCCTGTTTCCCAAAGTTCAAATGGCAGACGAAAGTCTACCAGGACTGAGCCAAGCATGAAGAGAGCAAGTCAAGTTTGGAAAATTATTCTGCATGCAGACAGTTCTTTTCCAGTGTTTTAATTGCTGATTTGAATTAGCAAGCAATGGCTCCCCTCCTGTCTCCTGTGGAGTGTAAAATGGCACTTTTTTATCTCTCACCTTCTTGACACAACAAAGGAAAACAAAGGCTGAAAACGGGGACTGCATATCGACAAAGAGAATTCTAGCTTATTGTACAGATATTGCCTGTTCTTACACCATTTCTCGCTCAGAGATATGTAAATGTGGAGCACCTGACATCAAACAGAGGGAACTGCTTCTCCTTTTTGTATCATCTCTAGAAAATGTATCATAAACAGCCTACAGAAATGTTCTATTAATACATGTCTGTTGGGGGGGGGAAGTATGTTATACGAATATTAGTCATTAAAAATGCATTTATTCGTATAATGCACATCGATGAAATAATGTTTTCTCCCTCCTCTATCAGCATGTCTCTGATGTGTGAGACCTTCATTTCAGAAGAAGAAAAGTAACCCAGCATAGATTCTTATATAAATTCTTATAAAGAATATGGTTGTTTTACTTGGCGTGCTGAATATATAAATATGTATTACTTTTGGGGGGGAAGCAAGAAAATATTCCCACATCCTTTATATATTTCTTGCAGTATTCACTTCCCATCATTATATATTATATGGGGGCATTATATTGCCTTCTTTTGTAAATAGTCTGAAAGGAATTGATTTTTCTCATTTTAGAACAGATATGCAAATGAATCTATTACAATAATGAATTATTTTTGTGATAAGGCCTGGAATTATTGCTGGTGTGTTGAGATGAATTATGACAATTTACATATTGATGCCATGTTTGTTGTGCTGTTGATAGGTCGAGCTCAACAGCATAGCTGCGAGGGATGGACGCATCAGAGAGGGAGACAGAATTTTACAGGTGGGAAAAATGTCATTTTTTTACACACATTTACACATGCTCATTCACAACCTCAAAAGATGATTATCCATCATCCTATTAATCCAGATGATGATTTTGATTATTTATTTGGTAGCTACAATCAGTGGTGTAGTGGTGCCTGGAGAAGTGGGTATACTCTTAATTTATGTCCCCATTTTTTTAAGCGGCCCAGCAAAGGATGAACGGCCTGTGTTATAAACAGTGACGTAAGACTAGTCTTGCATATTTAGTTCACCCCAAAATGGGCCAGTAGTATTTACACATTTTCACTTACTGTAACTTCTGCTACTTGACTTCATGGAGTAAGGATCACTATGAAATTAATATTAGCCACAAAAGAGGTGCAGATTTTGCAATAAATAATTAAAATGTAAAAATTACATAGACTGCAACAATTAACATTTTGTCAGAACCTCTAGTAGACAAGCTATTTTTTTTAGTTATCAGTAGGAGGATCATGATTTCTATTTGATACCCCAAATTTTATTTTTTAAATTGTGCAGCCTACTCCAATGTTTGACTGATTGTTTCTTCCATGGCATACAGTGACGGGCAAATAGTAACCCCCTACTTCCCCCACACCTTTTTACAATTTATCTATATAGACTACTATATAGTGCAAAAATTAAATAAATAAATACAATAAAAAATAAAATTGTATTAAAAATAACATTTTTAATACAATTAAGCACTAGTCAAGCTGCAATATCAAACAGGACCACAAGGAGACGCCAAAAGATCACTAAACCTACTGCCTTGACCTGACTGTACAGGCTTCTATATGGATCCATTCAGAATCTAAAAAACACCTTCAGGCTTCAGCAGCGTCCATTATAAAACCCTCGTGCTTTTAAGCCAAATACACGCTGAAAATAATAATTCTGGAGGTGACTCTAAGCCATCTCTAATGAAATCGGTCGGGTTTTCTCTGTAGCTGTTTTGAACTTAGGCTACTGTTTGAAGGCATTCGTTTACTGGATCCTTCAACTGAAAAGTTTACCGGTTTGAAAAAAAATCTATTGTTTTCGTTATAATGTACAGATTCAAATTAGGAGTCAATAATTAAATATTATTTTATCACTTTGCATGCCTCCCTGACATGCACTCAAGCTCCAGACCGACTCCGCTTGCATTCACGTGATTTGTCGAGATGAGGCGGGTGCGGGTGCGGGCGCGGGCGCGGGCGCAATCATCAATCAAATTCAAAGGGAAGCCGGCGCATTCTGACCACAGGACTGTCTTTACTGGGTATGTTTAGGGAATATTTGCATTTAGGAAGTCGTGGCCTAATGGTTAGAGAGTCGGACTCGTAACCCAAAGGTTGTGGGTTCGAGTCTTGTACCGGCAGGGATTGTAGGTGGGGGGAGTGAATGTACAGCGCTCTCTCCCACCTTCAATACCACGACTGAGGTGCCCTTGAGCAAGGTACTGAACCCCCAACTGCTCCCCGGGTGCCGCAGCAAAAAAATGGCTGCCCACTGCTCCGGGTGTGTGTTCACGGTGTGTGTGTGTTCACTGCTGTGTGTGTGCACTTTGGATGGGATAAATGCAGAGCACTAATTCCGAGTATGGGTCACCATACTTGGCCACGTCACTTCACTTTCACTTTCACTTCACTTTCATTTATTCACATGCGATTTGATTAGCTAGTCATGGTGGACTGTCATGATTTTGGCTAATGCAGGACACTACTGAATGATGCGCATTAGAAGGGATTTAGAAGTGGGTATACGCAAAGCCGACTGATAAAGAAGTGGGTATACGCCATATACCTGCGTATACCCTCCACTACACCACTGGCTACAATGGGCCCAAAATGTTGATAGACATCTGTCTATATATCTATCTTAAAAATCTAAAAAAGGTGGTGTAGAATTAATATAAATTAATATATATCAAAATAAAACAGTAATTGTTTTTTAAATGTATTTAAATGTAAATAAAGAAAATATAATTTACATTGACTACACATAGTCTGTATAGTGCTTTGCATGTGTGTGTCTGTACAAATCTTGAAAAAGAAAAAAA